ACAAGAGTGTCCCACAAGAGTGTCCTATAAGAGTGTCCCACAAGAGTTTCCTGCAAGAGTGTCCTACAAGAGTGTCCCACAAGAGTGTCCTACAAGAGTGTCGTGTAAGAGTGTCCCACAAGAGTTTCCTGCAAGTGACCCACAAGAGTGTTCTACAAGAGTGTCTCACAAGAGTGTCCCACAAGAGTGTCCTACAAGAGTGTCCCACAAGAGTGTCCTACAAGAGTGTCCCACAAGAGTTTCCCACAAGAGTGACCCACAAGAGTGTCCTACAAGAGTGTCTTACAAGAGTGTCCCAGAAGAGTGTCCCACAAGAGTGTCCTACAAGAGTGTCATTTGGACATATGTAGTTTTTCGAACGTGTTTGCATTCGGGTTCGTGGGTTCCATCTTGTTTTGGATTTTTTTGTTTTTTTCAGGTTGTGGGAAGAAGTCGTTTAGCGGAAACGTCCGAGAGTGATATTCTTTTGGGAGTGGATTTGGTTAGGATTGGGGACCTGCGATTTGGAGAAGTTGTTGATGTCATGTGACCTGGATTTTGTGAAGTTCACGCAACACTTGTGACCACTGGAGGAACTTCCCGGGAAGCTGAAACAGACACGATGTGGATGAGGATATCTCTAGCATGAATATTTCTAGGTCATGTCCATCTAATCATAGTCTTCAGTGGACGTCCTGGAAGATGGACACTTTAAACTTACACAAGCTGAAATCTTCCTTAAATATCTAGTCTTCAGATATTGTAAGATCAGTTGTAAGATCCTAAAGAGCCTCCCTGGGTGGACGAATTTCTTTGCACAAAAACCTGGGAGAAGTCTTTTTAAGAGTGGATGCCCTGTTTCTTTTCGAATCCCACTGCCCACTGGTGATGTTCCTTGGTTTTTGAAAGATGTGGACATGGAAGTTCCCAGGCACATGGGAGGAGTTCCCAAAGTTTTGAAGAGAAAGAGCACATCACATGGAAGATCCTGGAGTGAACCCCCCCCCGTTTTGGAAGGGAAAGTCGTCCAAGAGACCATGCCATCCACTTTCATGATCTTTCATGTAAGTGAGTCAGAGTGTACACCAGAATTCAAACAAACATGACTTTGAGGGATGTGCGCACTGATGGGTGTGATTCCGTTGACTTCTCCCCAACCTCCATCATAGATCTCCTGCTCAACTTGGCCGCTCCTTGCATTTCTCTTTTGCCAGGAAGTGAGGTGAAATGATTGGAAGATTCATGAAGATGGTCCATTGGTTCCCGCACGCTTTCTGTGATCCCTCGCGCCGTGTGAACTTTTGAATGATCGTTCCGAAAAAAAACCTCGGGTGGTGCGCAAGACAGTCTGAGACATTGGATTCAGGATCACAATTTTTTTCCCACAACATATTCTTTCCCACAACATGTCTGGAGATAACATATTCAAATTCTTTCCCACAACTTTTTCAACATTGGATTCAGGATCTCCGGACAGAGCAGGAACAGAAAAAAACGCACATTCTCGCCTACAGACCGTGTGCCACCCAACATCAGTTCGACGTGTGCCACGTCCGGAGCGTAGGACGACAGGGCGCGGAAGATCTGACTTCGCCCACCTCTGTTGAAACACCTCCGGAAAGAGAAAAGCTCCCCGCTGCGCTGCAGAAGATCGATCGGATCGGTGGAGAAACAGCAGATTGACCTTGAACAAGAAGCCATTGAACTTCAACAAGAGTTGTTTTGAAGAAATACACTAAGAACGGTTTCAATAGGTTTAGCATTTCGTGTTGAAGACTTTCTTGTTTTTCGATGGTCATGAAACTGATTGCAACTATGTTGGGGGGTCGTCTTCCCTCGAAGAAACACCAGAAAAACCGGAGAATCCGGACTTTGGTCCAAGAACCGATTCATTTCGTCCCGGGCTATGTCTTCTTTTCGCGAAGAAGGGCTATTGTACGTGTGCTTATTTTTTCCGTATACGTCCTCTGGCCTTTTTTTGAGCCTACGTGTGCGATGCACAACATGCAGCTGGCTTGGTCAAATCCTTTTTTCAGCATCAAAAACCACTGCTTCGCCACCGTCCACGTGACTCGCCACCGTGACTCGCCCGACAGGCCGGGCTTACGTCGGGTGCGCCCGGTGAGGCGGCTGGGTGAGGGGGTTGGGTGGGGAGAGGTGGGGCCCCAAAGTCCCCAAAGTCCCCGCAGAGTCCCCGAAACTGGGCAGAGCTGCGCTCCTTCAAACCAAAGGACTGGAGCGTTTTGAAAAGCGATCAAATGGTCAGCTTGGTCGGCGGTGCGAAAGGTTTTTTTCGTTTTTTTCAGCTGTGGAATGAACTTATATGTCGAGTCGATGTTCGGGTGAAGAATATCATGTTCTGTTTTGGAATCCCACATGGATCAAAAGAAGACCCTAGGAACCTGCGGGATATAATATGTCGATATATGTCGAATGAACCGCGTTGCCGCATATCTCCTGATAACTCCTCTGTGGTTGAAGAACCTTTATTGCCCATTGTGAATCGTCAGGTGATGTCCCTCAACTTCTTTGATGCTGAATCTCTATACAAAATATGTCAGTTAGTTAGGACCTTTGAACACAGATGATCGTGGGAGGTCTACAAAGCCTACCTACTGTTGATATGATAGATCATGATAGATCTTGATTTGTCTAAGGGGTCTTGGTCGATGCTAATTGACCTTTTCTTCCAGACGCAAGACCCCAGCAAGTGTACCTTATGGCCAATGCTTTTGAGTCGATGGGAATAGAGGCGATCAGGGAGATCCCCTGAAAACCAACATGGCCAGTGAAATTCACTGATAGTAGAGGAACACCATCTTCCTTTCGAGGCCATGTTCCACCTTCACCATGTTTGTTTGTTTGTTCGGGAGATCTATCCTGGCCATGGTTTCAGTGGAGCCTCCGCCGCGAGCCTCCTCGATTTTGAAGTCATCCAAATCGATCCTGGTGTTGTGTCTTAGTGCAGTGACCGAACTTCGCGTTTCCGGGTGCTGGACTCCGGATGACAGATCTGATTCTTGCAAAGGGATGCAGCATTGGACTGATCCTGTTTTCTGGATTAGAGGTGATTTGCATGCTGTTGTAGGGGGGGAGGTTTTAGATGCTTTTTGATGAATGCTGCGGGCACAAACTCTTTTTAGGGTTTTCTGCCTAAAAAACAAAGTCAGAGAAGGTCAAAGAAGAACTTTGATCTGGATTTACTCGATATCATGCCCACCACAGCTTCAAAAGGGCTAAAGGAAAGCTTTGAGGAGCTAATCAGCTAATCATCCAGAGTAGGATGAAGCCACTCC